CCACCAATTTGGATCGCTTGTTGTTCCCTTGTCCCTGGATTTGTTACATTTCAAAATTTTTAAAAGCTTGTTAGTTGCATTAGGAATTCTTTCTTGGGTATATAAAATGGAACAGGAGTGGTTTGTCTTAAAATTTTGTATGTAAAAGCAGCCTATTAAATATTTTTTAATAAGTGGATGAATGTTAGTCATTCATTCTGTACTGACTGCATTTTAAAATGTTTTCTCTCCAGACTGTTTCACAGGATACCTTTAGTGGTTGCCAATCTGGGCATGTCTGAACAAGTGGGTTATAAAACTACCTCAGGTTCCTGTACATCCACTGGTTTTAGCCGAGCAGTAAAAACACACAGGTGAGTCTCCTTGTGTGTTTCCCCACAGAACTCTTGGAAATTAATTTTTTTGTACAAATAACGAATCAGAAGGAAAACTAAGTAACGATCACATTATTCTAGTAAACTAAACTTTTATTTCCCCCTTATTTCCTTCTAGTACTTGTCTATGAAGAAAATTTGAAAAGTGGAGAAGTTTGTTACTCATCCTATACATTTTAGCATGTCTATTCTAGATTAGAATAAATAGTGTCAAGATAATAATAGTTTTCTGTTAATATTCATTACAGCCATGCGCTACATATTAAATTTAAAAAATTAAAAATTCTCTTAGCCCAGACTTTCACTCATACTATAGGATGCTTAGTTAAAACCTTTTTGTGGCCATTTAGTAAAGGAATAATTTTATCCAAAATAGCAACACACTTACAAAGGATACCTACTACAGTATATGACACATCATGAAGATAAAGGACTGGGTTTTATTTATTTGTGTGTCCTTATAATTACTTAGCAGTGGACTATATATAGGACTTGAATGCCATGTTTCATTGGTTCTAAGATGCTTTAAAAAAAGAATATTAAAATTGGGTGTGCCTTATGAACCTTGCCTTCTTTAACATTTTTTTTGTTGTGGTGGCCTAGAAAATAAAAAAAATAAAAACCACTGCTATCAAGTCAATTCTGACTCATAACAACCCTGTAAAACAGAGTAGAACTCCTTAAAGTTTCTAGACTGTAAATCTTTATGGGAGTAGATAACTTGATCTTTCTCTTACAGAGTGGCTGGTGGGTTTGAACTGCTGACATTGCTGGTAACAGCAATCATACCTTAACCCACATCGCCCTCTAGGGCTTCTTGGTTTATAAAATAGCAATGGCTTTTACAATCAATGGTGATTAAAATTTGTTAATTAAAAAAAATTTTTTTTGATTCTTGTCGCAATTCCCAGAAAGGGAGGGGCCTTTTATTTCCCTCTGTCTCTCAGTCTTTATTTTTTACTTAAGCTCCATTTTTAGGCCTGGTAAGAGTACTTAGGAAGCTAAAAAGTATGCTTATATAAGACAAATTAAGTATGTTTAGAGTGAGTTTTTTTGTATGTAAGTAGGTTGACAAACAAATGGTCTCAATAAAGCCTGAGAAAATTTATTAACACTCCAATTGTAAGTTTTCCACTGTATCATTAAACTGAATTCTGTACATTTACATGAGGAAGTGTTATTTTTTTTATAGCTCTGAATTTTTTAAAGAAGATGGATCTTTAAAGGAAATACATAAGATAAATGAAATGTATGCTTCGTTTCAAGAGGAATTAAAGGTAGGTTAAGATAACAGATACTTAAAGAGCATTTTATAGAATTGACATCACATTGATCATTGTGGAATATTTTAGGGGTATCCTGACAATTTGGGTAGACTTACTGTATTACATCTCAGAACCAAACTCGATGCCGTCAAGTCAGTTCCAATTCATAGTGACCCAATAGAACAGGTAGAACTGCCCTTGTGGGCTTCCTGTAATTCTATAGGAATAGAAAGCTTCCTCTTTCTCTCTTGGAGTAACTTGTGGTTTCGAACAGCCAGCCATGAAGTTAGCAGCCCAACAAGTAACCCTTACACCACCAGGGCTCCTGTGTTACATCTACACCTCACTTTTTGCATTGATTAGACTCCAGAGACTAGGTTGTTATTTAAAAACAACAAAAATGGATTGTAATCCAAAAATGGATGATGACTATCTTACTTACATTACCTAACAGCCAGTTTACATTACATTAACTGCCTATCCACTGCCAAGTAGACACATAGCCTTAATCAACCCTGTATTGGTACTCTGTCTCACCCATCAGAATTCATTACTGTCAGGTGTATGTCAGTAATGTACTGAATTTTTACTATTGTCTTAAATGCTAACTGTCTAATAACAAGATTGTCAGTAAGTGTGAAGTAGGTGTAGTCAGTACTGCTGCAGTAACAAAACCCTCAAAACCACTGCTTGTGGTACAAAGCTTTGTTCTTAAGTTACATGTTGGCTGCAGCTCTGTTCCTGTTCCAGATCTTTAAGGGATCCAGGCTAAACCAACTGTGCTTTACCTAGCTAGCACATGTTAGTTCATACAAAAGGAAAAGAGCAAAAAAGTTGTGGAAATTCACACTTCGTTAAGCAAAGCAAGTCCTACAGCATTATACAGCCCTTTTACAGCATCACACCAGGAGCTCTGGTGGCCTAGTAGTTACAAGTTTGGCTGGAATCTGCAAGGTCAGCAGTTCAAAACCACTAGCCTCTCCAAGAAAGATGACTTTCTACTCCCAGAATGAAGGGCAGTTCTAGCCCTTCCTATGGGGTTGCTATGTGTCAAAATCAGCTGATAGCAGTGAGCTTATAGTATTACAGTATTAACTTCTATTTCATTGTGCCATTTTGGATTCTTTGCGAAGTAAACATCAAGATAAATTTAGATGTGTAAGAGATGGATTGGCCCAAGAAGGATGAAGTAGGCAGAGAGAATGCAAGTCTGACCTCTGATAGAAGAGGGTGGGAAAGATTGAGTAGGAAGAGTCTTGATCTGCCATACTATGAAAGTTTCAGGAGTCCTTGAAAGAAACTTAACTCTTTAAAGAAATTCCATGTCCTGCAAAAGTGGACTTCCATTAATGTGTACATGGTGCTAAGGCGCAGCCTGGAAGAAGCATGGGCTACACACAGACAGTGGTGGACCCAGAGGGTGCTGGGGCCATGAGTTGGCTGTAAGTCATCTGTGCTCTCCCAGCAAGAGACCTGAGGGCGTGTTTCTATAGTCAACGTAGGCATTCATATAAAGCATTTTAGGGGGCACAGTTCATTTTATAAATTTGTATGTTTTAATATGAATAGTACTTTAACGTAACCTTTTAACAGTAATACACTTTGCCTTACTCCTTACTAGTTTATTCTCCCTAATATACAAACATTTGACTCATAAAAACCCTGTAAGAGTAGAAATGCTCTTGGGGTTCTAAGACTAAGTATTTATGGGAACAGATAGCCTCTCTCTTGTGGAACTGTAGAACAACTTGTGGGTTTGAACTGCCAACCTTGAGGTTAGCAACCCAATGATTAACACACTGCACCACCAGGGCATATTTTTCTTTGAGCTAATGAACCCCACTATTCATCAGTGCTGACTGCAGTCGTAACCTAAGGAGTACCTAATTATTTTAGTGTTCATTGTCATAGGGTCATATTCATTTGTATCATGAGTTATTTGATATATCGAAGCATTTTTCGTGTTGCTATTTGGTTGTTAGGTGCTGTTGAGTTGGTTACCATGCATATGATCTTATGTACAACTGAACAAAACACTGCCTGGTCCTGGACCGTCCTCACAATGACTATGTTCTCACCTATTATTGCAGTCACTGTCAATTCATCTTGTTTAGGGACTTTTTTGCTAGCCTTTTACATTATTTGGCATCGTGTTGTTCTTCAGGGACTGGCCCCTCACAATAATAAGTGGAAAGTTAGCCTTGTGCTCACTTTTAAGGAATATTCTGGCTGTACTTCTTCTAAGACAGATTTATTTATTCCTTTGGCAGTCCATGGCACATCTAATAGTCTTCAGAAATACAATTCAAGAATATCAGTTCTTCTTTGGCCATTTGTATTCATCATCCAGCTATTGTATACATGAAGCGATTGAAAATATGCTTAGAACTCTGCTGCATCTTAGTCCTCAAAGTGGCGGCTTTGCTCTTTAACACACTTTTAAAGCTAAATAATTTGTCTGGTTCATCCTGTCAGCTGCTTCCAGAAAGATGAAGTAGTATGCTTCCCATAAGGAATTTTTTT